CATTGTTACGACCTCCATTTGAAGCTCAACTATAAAGGGCCAACTAGGCATGTTTGAGCTGCTTCTATCCACTGCGTTGTAATTTGTAGCATATGGCATTTGGAAACTTGTTGCTTGAATTTTTCTACTGTATGCGTACATGTGTTGCTTTTTGGAATAAGTTTCTGAGCGAGCAAGCCTCTCTCAGATTGTGCCCTTCTCCTTCAGAGGGAGCGTCTTTCACAGCGAGTTCAGAGTTCAAAGCGTGCTCTTTGTATTTAATGTTACAGGGGCTCAATTGTTTGAACAATTGGGGTCATCAATTTTGGGATCACAAGTGAAAACTTTTTGCATCTGATCACAAGTTAACACTACTAGCTGCCTGGTTTCCTCATCTTTGTGGTTAGCTGGTTGGTAGGCCCTTTTAACCTCTACGATGGAGTAATATTTCCTCACCTTTGAAAAACGCATATTGGATCATCTTGTTGTGCATATTATATTTGGCTTTTATAGCATACCTTTTAGTCTATGATTTGGAAAGTTTTCAAAAGGCAAGTGCTTGGTATTTAAGTTATAATTCTCTAAAAACTACTAGGCTAAAATAAAACCAAACCATATATGTGATCCGTTTCATTTTGTTAAGCATGAAACTGGAGGTCTTCCTCCTTATCCCTTGTATTAGATTGTTAGACATGGATCTGATATGGGTAATAACCTGATTCCTTCTGTAAATGTGAAAAAACAATTTCAGGAGGAGACAGGTTTGCACTCGGTGAAATCATCTCAGTGTACATCTGATTACTGGCCCATTGATGTCTTTGTCAATCTCTATTAAGCCTCATGTAAGTAAATTTTAATCCTATTAAGAGATTAGAGTAAAATATCCAATTGTGCTCTTGTATCCCTTTCACATATACTTTCATGTGACTGATCTTGTTATATGTGACTTGTATTTCATTATTTAGTTGCTTTGGTTTCTCTGTTTTTGGTTATTAGTGTAAGATCAGTTAAGTGGTTTCTCTGTTTTTGGTTATTAGTCTAATACTTAATAATAATTGTTAGTAATCAGTTAAGTGGTTATGATAAGTACACATGCTAATATTGATGTTCTGTTTTGCAGATAAATAATAGGATTGTCAGTAAATAATTGGATTGTCAGAGATTGTACTTCTCTCTCGTGGCTCTTTTCTTGCTCCATTGCGCAGGTATTTTCCAAGCTTCAACTCCAAGCCTACATTTTCTCCCTTCTCAGTTTCTTTTTTTAAATTGATAATCAAATTTTTGCTTTTAATTTCGTGTTTTAGTGATTGAGTGGTTGTCTTTGATTGTATTTCATGTTTTAAATTGATAATCAAATTTTTACTTTTAATTTTTACATTAGCCTATCAACTGTTTGATGAAATGCCTCTGTGAGAACCTCTTTGTCTTTTCTCCTTTTCTTGTGCCTATTGCTCACTCAAATGGGTCTGTATTATAAGTTTTTTTTTTTTCCATTGTTACGACCTCCATTTGAAACTTCGAACTATAAACTCTATCCACTGCATTGTAATTTGTAGCATATGACTATGGGGCAACTTGTTGCATGAATTTTTTTACTTTCTCATCATTGTGTGCATGTGTGTGTTGTTTTCTGGAAAAAGTTTCTGAACTGTTATGGTCTTGATTACAGAGCTGAAAAAGAGTCTTGACAGTAAAGAAAATGCCACATAGAACTCGACCTATGACTGCACTCTTGGTGTTTACTGGGCTGAATATTGTACTAGTTTCAACCATTACTCCAGTCTATGATTTTGTCTGCTTCCTTCCATACTGGGAAAGAAGGGTATGTTTTCTGTCACTATTTGTTAAGCAAATTATATTCCAGAGAAAAAAAAATATGGTATTAAACTTCTTAGAGAACTTTCGTTTGGTTGGCCATACGCTTGCAGGATGCATCTTAAAACTAAGCTTGACCATCTCTTTACTTGTATAACTATGCTTGCTTCCACATGATGTTATTATATTCACTCACTTACCAACTTAAATCTTGATCTTCCCGGTTTTGTATTGGTGAGGTCAAAGTTGTCAAACATAAACATCATTTTTGTTGCTTAAAACTTTCTGGTATGATCACTAAGTTGATATCTATTCCGTAATAGTGGCTTCGGTGGAATGAATTTGAAAGCTTGGAAATGTAAAATTAGACATATTGTTACTGAATTTGATTTCTTCTGTTATTCAGTTTCTAAAATAAAAAACTGTAATCCTTCCAATCCAATGCGATCAGTTCTGGATTGGATTGGATTGAGTCAGTTGGTTGGTCTTTTAGATTCGTTTTGTGGATCCCTACATCTGGTATTTATGTTTCTTTGCAGAGAGAACGACGTCGTCAGGAACGTGAAGCAATTTTATCAAATCGTCCTGAATCAAAATAGAATTATTAGTGAGGTCAAACCTCTTGAGTTACAGGTTTTAAGCTTTTTTTTAATATTTAATGTAGTTCTGCCATATGATTTATTGTAAGATTTTAGTAAATTAAGGATAAGAAGGTATACAAAGCTTTTGCATGCCTGCTTATGGATGTTCTCTCCGTATATTGTATAATCTAATTATAAAATATGTTTAAAATAAAACCTTAAAGATTTAGAGGAGATTACAGTTCATGTGATGCAGGACAACACAAGGTGGGGTGTTGCCTATGATTAAGTAGAGAAGAATAGGGAGGAGAAAAGAGATAAAGTAAAGTAGGAGACAATCAAGGCACCAACAAGCCTTCAATAAGACTTCAATATTTCGTTCATCCAATCTGGTTTGTTTTGCAAGGAAGTGCCTTGTTTATAGGCTTCAAATATAACTCTTAGTAACTTCCAGAAATACAAAATTACTCATTAAATAAGAATTGAGTAATAACACTTATATTTATTTCATGATTCTTGCACTACCATGTACATTTCATTATAGCATTATCATGAAGAGGATATTTTTTTTCCTCCCACTATTGCATTATCATGTGTCCCCAATCAAACAAAGTTCCCTGTTCCATAGGCATTGCAACATCAATATTTCATGTAAGCTTGCTTCCTCTTGGTTGGTTTGATTCAGTACTTGCTATCTTAGTGGAGAAATATTTTCTCCCTTAGATTTTGAGAAGTTGCTAGATGATTTGAAAATCAAGGAAGTTAAATAAATCCATTTGTTTAACATTATTGTTTTACATTTATTTCTACGTCATTGAAAGGTCTATGATGAAGTTTGTAAGGCTTGTTAAGAAAGGTCTACTGGTGATTGATTTTGGAATCTAAAACTTTAGCATTGAGGTTGAGGGTAGCAGTTTGTTGTGGGGAAACCAAGTGCTAGCTATAGAGAAATTGAGAGTAACCAAAATAAGGGTTTCTTTTTTCTTTTTCCAATTCAACTGCATCAAGCAATCCGCTTAATTATATCCAAGCACACGGAGGATATAATGAGGGCTTATGGAGGGGGGTTATGTTAAGACGTGTGATCAAGTGCTGAGTTATTATTGAATTGTTGGATTGAACCCCCTCATTATAATCTCTCAATATAGCCCCACATTATAGAAGCTCCTGACGGAGCATATTCTCTAGGTATTGGGCTTTTAAATATATGCCACAACAATATTGGGTCCTTGCAAGTGATAGGTCTTAATGTTCTGTGCAAGCAAAGTGTTTTCTTTTTCTTCGTTGGTAAATATACAAGCAAAGTTTCGGAAGTATCATAAGGAACGGTAATGTTCAAGAACATGTAGCGGATAAGGTACTTGATCAAACTACCAACCACCCTCGTTCCTAAATTAATGTCTTATCTCCCATAATCGGGAGCTCTTATTTGTGTAACATATAATCCATGTACTGTTTACAGATTTCCAATTTAGTGTTTGTTTATCAATCATAAACTGCCTCTTTGTTTTGGTAACGGTGGCAGCACATCCTCCAAATATATATATGCCCAATGATAATTTTTATCTTTTATACAATCAATATTGGAGGAGGGGGGAATCAAACTTAGGATCTCGGATGTATAGATAAATGTTCTTAACCATATGAGCTATAAGCCCCTTGCACGTGCAATGATTATTAAACCTAAGGATTTACACGACAATGATACTACAATCACCAAAATATTCTAAGGATTTGTATTTCATATGTTATAACTTATAGCCTACCCATTACATGTTTTAGATCAGTTGTTTTCGTGTGCACGTGTGACTATCAATCATTGATGCATATAAAATCCGTACTTTATTAATAGTTGGAAATATCTGTATGAGCAACTCTGCTACTCTTAACCGTTGATACATACCAAACACACAATACATCAATAATTGGAAGTCTTGATGATTCTCCCTTCTCTTGTATACACTATTATTGTCTGCTATTCAAGTGGGATTCAAAACTTGATTTGACCCAACTCAGAAATCGTACAGATTAGCCAAGTGTCAGAGATCGAGGTACCATGTCTTAATGAGTGACAAATCATTAGGAAGAATGAGATAGATAGATAGATTGATACCAATAAATTAAATAAAATAATTCTGCAACCAATATATAACTAAATGAATAAACAAATAATATTTAGATAGATAGAGAGCTACAAGCTACAAGGAAGGAAGGAAGAAAAGAATTCAATTCATGCTTTGTCAATGTTGTGGTGCTTCTCTTCTCTACGCTTTCTCACCTCCCATGGCATGTGCTCTTGTCCCACTTTGTGCCCTTTACAGTATTGCTTTGCTTTTTCTCTCAGCATCAATCCACTCCCCTCATTTCCTTCCTTCCTGCTTTTGACACATCATTGCTTAATGCTTATACTCTTGTGTTTCCCCAACTCAACGTTCCTTCTAATTTCACATGTTTGATCGCACATCTTCATCATATGCACGCATTTAGGTTTGCTTTCAAAACTCTTCTACTGGATTTGTCTTCCTATTTTTAAAAATCATCATATGAAAAAATGATTAAAGGATATATATATACAACAGGCACATAGATGGAGAGCTTTACTTGAGATATTTATCGGGTAACTTTATTTAAGGGGCATCCTTGTACGTTTTACTTTGCATTGTATTATGTATGGTATATTTTTTAAGTGTTTCTTCAAAGATTATCCTTATAAAAAGTCACAAAATTCAAAACTATTTAATCACTCAATTAAATGGTTGTCATTGTTAGTGTTTTATTGAACACAATGTTGATAGATTTTGTTGATCACAACAAGATGTCTTAATAATTTTCAATTTGTCTAATTATTTGCAATGATGATATTTGAATGAAGATTATTGAAGTAAAATTTGTAGTGGGTTCCGAAAGAGCCCCCTCAATAAAATTGATTGTGTGTATATGTATATATATTATTGGACACATATATGCATATATTTGGGGGGGAAAAAATGTATGCAACCCATGAAAACTACTTTTTGTGCAAATTTTGATTAAATCTCTATCTACATGAAAGTAGGATTGGTAGAAAGCTACAAACCATCATTCATTCATGTGTCCATTTTTGTTTCCAAATGGAGAAGCAAAAGCAACTTATTCTCCCTTTCTTTTTCTGTGTTGTAAATTCACAATTTCCATATTCTCGTTTAGTTAGTTGTCAACTTGGTTAGCATTTCCCTTTCTTGTCCAGAAATTTTGATGACCTGATTAACTAACATGATGTATGTTGGCTTCTTGCCCCTCAAGCACAGTCAAATCAAATTGTTGTTTGATAGACCACTTTAATTTATGGCTAAATTACAGTTTCACCCCTTGGAACAGGTGCTCGATCTCACTTTACCCTTGAAATTGAAATTTTCTCACTTAACCCCTTGAATCTCTAAAAATTGCTGGAATTTTCTCACTTTACCACTTCCATCTATTTTCATCCACAAAACTGTTAAGTTTGCTGACGTGACATGGCAATTTAGTAATTTTACCTCATCTCTCTTCTCTCTTCGCTATGTGCGCCTCTCTCACTCTCACTCCCACTGCCTCTCTCTTCTCTCCCCTCCCCGACCCAACCCCCATCGCACCTCACCTCCTCCCTCTGGTCTCTCTCATCTCTTCTTTCTTCTATCTCCCCTCCCCTCTCTAAACCCAACCTCCACCCCATATCTAACCCTCCTTGGAATTACTCAACACAACCAAACCACCACCACCCAGCACCTCAGCTGACACCACGCACCATGTCTTCTCAAGACACCACCTTGTGAGACAGAGACAGAGAGAAAGTGCTTGCCTAGATTAGGGCCATGCCGAGAATGGAGGTGAAGACGGTGGTTGCCCAAATTCCGACTTGTACATGCATGAACTTGGTCTCATCTCACAGGCCCAAATTCCGCATTGGATTCCATTTTGCAAGTTAGGAAACTCCACTACGATTTTCAAGCTTGCTAATGCTTCCGTTTGCAAGCTTGTTAATGTGTGAAGAAAATATGGGGGGTGGCTGTCGATGAGATTTTTTTAAATTTTGAGTTTAAAGATTTTTAAAATATATCCAATTTTCTTACTCATCACACACAAGGACTTAAAATTACTAAAATGTTTGTGCCACGTCAGCACACTTAACTGTTTTGTGGACGGAAGTGGTAAAGTGAGAACATTTCAGCAATTTTTAGAGATTCAAGAGGTTAAATGAGAAAATTTATGTTTCAATGGGTAAAGTGAAATCGAGCATCCATTCCAAAAGGTGAAACAGTAATTAAGTCTTAATTTAATTTTGTCCGTTGCGTTTAAATTAAATAACATCATTCTACGTGTGCATACATGTATGGTCAATAAAAGAGAGAGAGAGAGAGAGAGAGAGAGAGAGAGAGAGAGTTGTAAGTAACATAGTATTAAGGAGATAGAACTAAGTTTTAGACTCAACCGTGTTATGGTTTTTCTAAACTTCTCTTTATACTGATATTTGTTTTATTTTATGTATTTTAATTTGGTATATTTATTTACATTAATTATTTTCTGAATTTTTTGTAAATAGAGCAATTAAATCTCCTTATTTTTCCAACAAGAAGAGCAGGCAGAGCTTCAATGGCAATACAACCAATTTCAGTGGAGCTTTGTTAGTGAGAGTGCATATATATATGAGACATCAGATTACATTACTTGGTCCACATATATGATAAGTACAATTTAGTCCCCGTTGTATACTTCTTTTGCATTGGCATATACTGGATTAAATTAAGCTTACTGAATCCAACAAAATGTTTTCCTAATTAGGCAATAAAACTCAACCAAATATGGAAATAAGATTTCTCTATTACTTTTGAAAAAAGAGGAAGAAGAGAGAAGCAATAGTTATTTCCCTTAATTTAGAAGAGAGAACTCCTAATCTTTGACTTAAAATGCTGAACTCCAAGCTTCCTAGAGATTAGATATCCGGCCGTTCGCTGTTAAGATTTCAGAGGGACGGATTCTTGGCCCACCACTAGTGACATCGATATTGTCCCCAACTTAACCACTTGTTTAGCAGGTGTGAGGTTTTATACAAAAAGCCCTGATGTTATTAGGACTGAAACCATTTATTATATAAGACTTTCTATTTTGTTAAGTTTTCGATGTGGGACTCAGCTTTAGCTATTTTTGGTGTTCTAAACTTGTTGAATTGGATAACTGGATGATACGCCTAGGAAACTTGATTGTTAACCCGCGGGTAGAGAGGAGGCACCAAAGGTTACGAAGTCAAAGAAAAGAGCGGATGGCCCACTCAATCAAATCAATAAACAAAGGAAAACATTATATTCCATACCTATATAACGGCGAAGAGAGGAAGTATTACGTGGAATGGCCGTTGAATGGCCTCGGAGTGAACGGGGGTACCTATAGAATGGGAATTTGCATCGAACTTCAGTCTTTTGGTCAATCTCAAACCTAAACTTGAAACTTGGATTAAAAACCTAGGCTTATAACAATGTTATGATAACATAGAGTTAGATCCTAAGACCCCGTTTGGTTAATGGAAAAGGAAGCTTAGGGATGAGAAATCAATTGCTTTCACATGTTTGGTAAGTCCAAGTATGGGAAATGGTTGCCTAGCTGGCACATGAGAAAGTAAGAGGGAAAGTGAAGCCCTCCTTCCAACTTGGGTTTTGTTTTCCAATCTCATGGGAAAGTTTGGGAAAATGAGTCAACATTAAATGCACACTTTTCATGACCATTTTGTCCCTATTTACAATTTAGAATTGCAATATATCATTAAATGCATTTTTTTAATTTGATTTAATATAGGTATAATTGGAAAATTATACAAACTTTGTTTTCCATTCCTACTCAAAACAAATATGAGAAAGGAAATAAAGTGATATATTCCGGTTACTTTCCTAGCATTATCAAACGTGGGAAATAAATCTTCTATATTCTTATCATTTGGGAAATGACATGAAAAGTAATTTCCCCTCAAATCCGTTATGTGAACCAAACGGGGCCTATTCCCTAAACCTCGAACCACAACATTGTATAGGATTTAAATCTTGATCACCCTAACTCCTAAGCCCTACACCTTATCTTGCCTTGCCTTGAAGTCATGGATCTTGTGCCTTGAGCGGAATTGTGATGCTTGGCCTTGTAGCAAACACATTTCATAATTCTTGAAGTTGAAAACAATTTTGTACTGGTATCAAACATGTTTTCCAATCATAAGAGTAGTGATATAGGCCACACTTTTTGAATTCTATTTTAGGCTTAAATAAATTATGACATCACATTATATTTTATAGACATTCAATAAGACTATGCTCATGCGAAAATTCCTTAGCATAGTTGATCGGTGACATTGTGCCTTATAATTGATTCATTATTTCTTTTTATACAAGTGATATTTTAGATGAAGAAAGATTTTGAACATAATTTCACATATATAAATAACTGCTCTTAATGACTTGAGTTAAACTTCTTGCAACGAAAGAAAAATCAATTTTAGAACGCTTTCAACATTAGAACGAAAATTCCGCAACCATGAAAGTAGGGCAATGATTTCCCCACTCCTATTTTATCCACTTACACTCTTTTTTTAATTATAAAAAAAGAGTGTAAGTAGATAAAATAGAAGAAAAAGAAGTGGGGAAATCACCACTCTAAAAGTATACAAACCCTTCAATCAAATCATAGGAAAAATATTTTATATGTTGACTTTAACAAGTAAATTCATTTGGAGACTCGAACTGAGTTTTGTCTTGAGCAAAAAAACAAATTTAAATTCATTTGACGACAAAGAATTGAGTGTTGTCAGGTTTAGCTATTTGGACTTTGTTCTTATCGAACAGTCCCCCTTCCTTTGACAGATAGACTCCAACCAAATACGGATGCAGCTTACAAAGGGTACACAGCACCACACAGTATAACTGCCTCCAGCCTCCATGCTACGTCGTCGTTCCAATTCTCTCTCTTGCATTTAAACCCCGCCTAAACCCCATCTTAGATTCTTAATCCCTTTCCTTAAACAAAGAATAAATAAATAAATAAAACAAAATAAGACAAAACTCACTCTCACTAACACTTAGAACAGAGTAAATTATAGACTCTCTCTCTGGGTGGAGCTCTCTGTTCTTGTATTTTAGGGCTCAGGGAGGTGTTGAGTGAGCACGGCAGCAGCGGATCTTTCTCCCCAGCTCCTCCAATGGCTAGCGCTAACGCTCACATTAGCAACGGCGACCACGAGCAGCCGCCGACGAAGCCGGCTGGGCTCACGGCCTCGGGGTCGTTCAGGGCTCGCAGGAAAACCAGCTCCTCCGCCGGAATCTCCCGAGCCGGCTCCGAAGTCGATGACATCATCACCCTAATGCACGGCTCCGATCCAGTCCGAGTTGAGCTCAACCGCCTCGAGAACGATCTCCGAGGTCTCTCTCGTCTTCTTTCCTTCTCCGCTCTCCATTTTCCCGGCAAAATTTGGAGCTCACATTTTCTTTGTACATAGGGAGAGATGATATTCTTATTTCATGAAATTGACCAATTCGTCGTATTTTCTGGAAACCAATTTCTTCTAAATTCAGAGCCGCATTTTCTTGCTAAGGAAAGAAACGATATTTCAAATTTGTTAGCTTTGATTTTTTCTTTTTCCTAAAAAGAAATTTCTTATTTATAATTATATTTCGTGTACTTTATAATTTATAAGGTCAAATTTGACTGATATATACGTTTTTTAATTTATGAAATGAAATAACAGATAAAGATAGGGAATTGGGAGATGCTGTTGGGGAAATCAAGTCTTTGAGGAATTCAGAGCGCCTTAAAGAGAAGGCGGTGGAAGAGGTACTCTATTTTGCTTATGAAGCCGAAGTTGTGCTTCTATTTGCATTAGCAATTGGATTGATTTTTATTTTCTTATAACAATTTGCGTAGCACGATGTTGTCAAATTTTGGTACTTTATAGTATGTTATTACCAAGTTTTGAGCTAGATAGGCTTGTGAAGTTGTGATTATGGTCATTGATTGTTGTTGCATGATCAAAGAAAGTATCTTTATTGTTTTTTTAATGATGGAATTAGCAATATACTAGAATGTATGAATGAGACAGATTTTGTCAGACTTTTATTTGCCAACTCTTTCTAAAGTTGTTTTTTTTTCTATCTAACAATGTTTTACACCTTCTATTAGATGCAACAGTTATTTTGGAGAACTCTTGCTTAAAAAAAATACCCTTCCACTTCTTAAAATTAAAGAGCAATCTATTTCCATGCAAAAAATATATTGTAGTTATTTTAAATACTGCAAACAATTTAGTATATGCATTTCATTTGAGTTAGGCAGGAAATTTATTTTTTGACTGATTGTGAGTCTACATACTAAGGTGTGCAATGCTGTTTTATATCCATAAAAAAATGTCTGTAAGTGGAACTTCTGGACAACCAAGATGAGATTTGATAGTCTTCTATGTTAATCTTCAGTCTTTTTATACTTTAAGCTGAAACCTTCAGTCTGCTATATTACCTAGTGGTTACTGGATTTTAAGTATTATTGCCTTTTGGATTAATGGTTTTATTCTATTCTAACATTTATTGATCTCAAATTTATCAAGATAACCCTACTTATTCAATTGCCATGTTGTGAATGGATGTTTTGAGCTTCTAATGTTTTAGTTTTTATTTTTTATTTTTTTATATAATCATTTTCTTCTATTGTGATGGATTCACATTTTATTGCTTTAAAATATTGACTATTATATCCAGCAGCTTCACTTAACAAACAGGTGGATGACTAGAATACCCGCCTTTTGGGACATAGACATGGTGAAAATTTTATAATGCCACTTTCCAATGAAAGACTTGAATTCTAAATGATTACAAGAGTCTTAGCAATTGTGTTAAAGCTGTGTCAGTTTTAAGCAAAGCTTTATAAGCAAAATTTCCAATTGGACTCTTTTAACCTTTACCCTCCAAAAAAAAGAACTTGAAATGTAATGGGTTATACATTTTTTTTTACTGACAGTGAGTAGCTAATTTTGAAAAATCCCTGCAACTTGGAGGAGATATTATTTTATTTAACAAATTAAGAAAATATCTCCTTTACCACACGATTATAGCCATATTGTTATTCTCAGTTTTGTTAGTTTTGTTCTGTTCGATTTTTTATTGATGCCTTCTTCTGAGTGAGATAATTATAGGTTTATTACAAAATTATCAAGATTTTAAGAACCATGTTGAATTTTATTTATTAATGTATTGCTCTTTATTACAAAGGAGAAACTTTATGTTCAATCAGAAATGGGACTATCTGATTATTTTTCTGTTGGTTAATGATTCCAGTTGACAGATGAACTAAACAGGGTGGATGAAAAGCTGAAAGCAACTGAAGCCCTTCTGGAAAGCAAGGTACTAGTTGTATTTCCCTTTGCTCCCTCATTGTACTATCTTCTGTAACCAACAAATGGATTTCTGTTTGCAATATAATGAGTACACTATGATTTGCAGAATCTTGAGATTAAGAAAATAAATGATGAGAAAAAAGCAGCTTTGGCTGCACAATTTGCAGCGGAAGCCACACTTCGAAGAGTTCATGCTGCACAAAAAGATGATGAAATGCCCCCCATTGAAGCCATCATCGCTCCACTGGAAGCAGAGCTTAAGCTTGCTAGGCAGGAGGTATATACTTTCCTTCTGCAATACTATGACCTCAATTTGTATTTTCATCTATTCTTTTATTCAACATTCTTAAGACAGATAGGATTGTTGTAAAACTTTTGATGTAGTAATGTTCTGTGTCAATTTTCGCTGTCTATTTTGGTTTCCATATTGGTTTATACATGTGAGGTTTAGAATGTTCATAATGTATTGGGTTTCCATATTCTTACTGTCTTTATGGGTCTATTGATTCATGCACATGAAAAGAAAAATAACGAGTTAAATTTTTTTTTTCAAAATACCTTTTCATGTTTTGGTTTTTTAGGTAGCAAAGTTGCAGGATGACAACAGAGCACTTGATCGGCTTACTAAATCCAAGGAGGCTGCTCTAGTTGAGGCCGAGAGAACTGTTCAGATTGCTATGGTAAAAGCATCCTTGGTTGACGATCTGCAAAACAAAAATCAAGAGCTGATGAAACAGATTGAAATATGTCAGGTATGTATGCTCTCTGAGTTTTCCTGCTGCAGGCAATGTGTGTGATTGTGGGAATGTACCGTGGGTTTTGTACTAGCATTATACTCTATTTTTTGTAACATGTACTAGTGGATTATCAGGAGGAGAACAAAATCCTTGACAAAATGCACCGGCAAAAGGTGGCTGAGGTTGAGAAGCTAACACAAACCGTTCGTGAGCTTGAGGAGGCTGTTTTAGCCGGTGGAGCTGCTGCCAATGCTGTGCGTGATTACCAGCGTAAAGTGCAGGAGATGAATGTAATAAACATTTCTTGGAACTCCAGTTCTTGCAAATCACTTCGTAGTTGTTCTGAGTCTGTCACAAATGCAAACTGCCTCTAACCTTCAAGCTTGTGTAGGAGGAGAAAAAACTGTTGGAACGGGAGGTGGCTCGTGCAAAGGTCTCTGCAAATAGGGTTGCCACTGTTGTTGCAAATGAGTGGAAAGATTCCAGTGACAAAGTGATGCCCGTAAAACAATGGCTTGAAGAAAGGAGATTTTTTCAGGCATGTTACAACTTCAATGCCACCTCATCATTTCTGCATGCAATTCCTTTAATTTGTACAAATAGTCATTTCGTTTCATTGGCTCAAGTTGCATCCTTAACCCAAGAGGTTGGCATTATGGCAATCGAATGGGGCTTAGGCGCTTCATGCTGGATGAGGCAACTGCATGGACCTAGTTATTATCAATTAACATGTGGACCAGATGCCTCGTCAGCCCAAAAAGAAAGCATGAATTAAATTTTTTTTTTTTTCTTCTTTAAATTGTTCTAAAAGTATTTAATGATCACCTATGTTAACCCAAGAGGTTTAACATATGGAATTATCATCTAGTACCATAGATGACCTGCAATGATTTTTGTTGGCCTACTGTCAAGATGCATATAGGATAGTGATAGAGACTACCCCGTATCCCAGGACCTTAAAACAGATATCCCATCTGGAAAATGGTTCTTTATTGCATAGATCACATATAATGCTTTCCCCAAATATTTGCAAATTGAGTAGTTGCTAGAAAACGGAATATATATACAGAAATTCTCCTATGCGGACATCTGGACGTTATTATCGTGCGGACCCCATGTATTTTGTACAACCCCTCCCTGCTTTGTTGCCTATTTACAATGGCATCCGCACGATAATAACATGCGGACATCCGGATAAGAGAATAACTGTATATATGTAAGGAACAGTTTTTATTTTACCTTAAGAAGCGGCGGTGGAAGTGAAAACAGATCAAGAAAGGAACAGTTTTTTTTTAATTTGAGATTTAAAATGAAATATTTGACATGATTTTTGTAGGGAGAAATGCAACAACTTCGAGACAAACTGGCAGTAGCTGAGCGTACTGCAAAGGCAGAAGCACAATTAAAGGTATGCTAACTGTTTTAAATTTAGTCTGCTCTGACAAGTAAGGGTAACTGTTTCCTATTATGTGTTTAAGCCTCTTCTTAACAGTTGAGCATTAATTGATTTCTTAGGAAAAATACCAACTAAGATTCAAGGTTTTGGAGGAAAAGTTTAAAGCAACGAATGGAAAATCCCGCCCATCCTCAGATGCAAGAATCATCAGCAATGGGCCTTCAAGGCGTCAGTCTCTTGGTGGAGCTGAGAACTTCTGTAGAGCGTCCTCTAATGGCTATCTATCTAGGACAAAATCAAATTTACAATCTGGTTTCAACCGTTCCAACACTGCTACTGCAATATTGAAACAAGCCAAGAGTTCATCTAGATCGTTTGATGGTGGTAGTAGATTGCTAGACAGAGATAAGCTAGTACCAGATGCAACTGGGAAAGATAACACAAACAGTGCCAGTGATCAGACTCAGATGGATGAGACAATTGGTAGACATGAGGAGAGGGCAAATGGATCTTTGGCTGAACAATCCAGGACAGAGCATGAAGATTATGTTTCTGGAGTGCTGTATGATATGTTACAGAAAGAGGTCGTATCTTTGAGGAAAGCTTGCCATGAGAAAGATCAAACCCTCAAGGACAAGGATGATGCAATTGAGGTTAGCTAGTAGGATGTATCTCATTAATTTTGCAACCTCTCTCCACTTTTGTTTTGCTCTTAATTTGTTTCTTGTGTGGAATCAAGTAGATGTTGGCAAAGAAGGTGGATACACTTAACAAAGCAATGGAGGTTGAGGCCAAAAAGATGCGGAGAGAAGTAGCTGCCATGGAAAAAGAAGTCTCTGCTATGCGTGTCACCAAGGAGCCTGATCAGAGGGCACGGCGCTCAAGTGCTCCCCGAAGGGTTGTAAATAGCTCTCATACACTTTCTTCTAGGTAAATAGTTGTGTATAATCTTTAATGGCCTAAAACTGATGCACTAGTTGTGGAACAGGCCGTCATTCTTGTTCCTGCTAAGTTCTTGATTATATAAAACAAACAAAAATGCATGGTGCGATATACTTATTTTTTTCTTTTCACTTTCTTGGTCATCACATGGTGTAATATCAAATGCTGAAAGTTGATAACTTTTGAGCTACTTCGAGTAGAAGACCATTGATCAATCTGAACAAAGTTTTCTTCTTTCTTTCAGGAATGCACATAAGTCTAGGTGATTGACATGGCCACATGAAGGGCGCCACACCAATTCTTCGGATCTGCAATCAATATAATTGTACGGTTTTGTCTATGATTTTTTTGCTCGTCTCCATCTATTTAAGTTGTCTTGTCCAGGTAGGCAATTTGTAAAGAACTGACTTGAGGTTTCTCAGGTCACCCTGCCGTGTATATTTCTTTTGTACTAATATTTCCCAAAAATATACCAACCGTGGGTGGCATGAAAGTTATGAAAGAGATGTGGCTTGTTCGATGCTTTTCAAGGAAACTGCAGGCATGATAAAACTCTGTATACCATAAATGTATATTGGTAAGGAAGTTCTCGTTAATTCAATACAGCTTTTAGGCTACACCTTCTCCAAAAATGGATTTACTGGGTTGATGGCATAAAAGGTTTTATGCGGACAAAGGCTAGAGTTAACAAAGCAATGGAGGTTGAGGCCAAAACAAAATTTGAAGTCTTTTATTTGAATTAATCTGACAGACTACTGAGGGCCATTACTAATTTGGTCAGACATCAATATTGTTCCAAACTCAACAATGACCACCAATATTGTTCCAAACTTAACAATTTAGGTATAATATTGTGAGTAAAATTAGACTCAATGGACTCATCCAGGTTGTCCAGGTATTGGTCTGGGGAAATTTGCTCGGGTTGGAGGTTGATAGGGTGGTGGGTTGTTGGAAAGAGAAAAGAGAGAAGGGTGGTAGAGATTAGTGCATGTGGTAGATTGTGATCTTATAATATTACATAATCAGCATTGGCTTATGCATACTGCTTGATTTGTAAATTATAAACAATTTTCATTTTTGATAATGTCCTCATATGAAATTCGTACGATTTGAGTGTTCAAAAAAATATATATATATATATATATATATTTAGCATGACCTCTTGTTTCATATTTATGGCGAGTTATTTACACTAATACCTTATGAGGTTTCTTATGTTTTCACGAAACTCTTTCAGGTCTCAAAAATTATATAAACATCCCCTGAGGTTTCAGTTTGTTTTCACAAAACCCTTTTCATTAATTGTTTGTTCAAAAATTGATGATTTTATTGAATTTTTTTAATGCAAATGACAAAATTAACCTCAGAGTATCCACAATTATGCTCCCTATTTTTTAGTTAATTTTTAGCTAAAAACATATCAAAGTTATTTTAGGAGCTCTTTATAAAATTTGAACTCCAATCATGCTCTTTAGTTTAGGGGGTCATAAATACTATAAATCTTTTTTAATTGGTCAATCTCTTTTAAAAAAATAATATAAAAATAGTTAGCATGAATCAAATGTTTGAAATACTTATTAAATAAAGCAGCATTAAATTATAGGGAGTCATCAGGAGTCCTTTCTCTCTTTTCAGATTTAGGATTCCTAGAGGTCTCCGTATTTTAGGAGGTGGATAGGGAGCATGGTTGGAGTTGTATTTTTCTAATTCCTCCCTAAAATTTGTCTAAAGATATGGTTTAAGGAGCCCATTGTGAATGCTCTCAATGAAGTATATGCAATCTAATCTCACAGGACAACTGTCAATTGGATAATTTTTTTGGTATAAAATCATCAATTTTTAGATGAAGAATAAATGAAAATGAGTTTTGTGAAAAGAAATTTAAAACCTCAAGAGGTGTTCGTATAATTTTTAAAACCTCGAGAAGTTTTGTGAAAAAGCCGAAAATCTCAAGGACTGTTAGGGTAAATAACTCCTCTATGACTACCTCTAATTGTTTATTTGAAAAATATGTGACGTAAGTATATTATTTTGGATATCATTTGTCTGACTTGTACTCCATATTTGTGGTCTTAAATATCCCAGTCACATTGACTGAAATTGCTACTTTAAACTTCAAAGTCATTATCTGGCTTGGAAGTCTTTGCGTGCTGATGGGGTTGAACGACTTAGCCCATAACTCAACTTGACTTGGAAGTCTTTGCGTGCATGATCGTAGCAGTGTCATTATCAGTATTTTATCTTTATCAGAGACTTGGAAGTCGTTTAATCGATGTTCACACAATTTGTGTTGGTAGGGACCCGTTTATGAAAAAAATTTGTGCGGACAAAGGCTAGAGTTAACTCATGCTCTCCTTTTGTCTCAGTGAGATAAGCTGCCTTACTTGGATTTGCTATCTAACCATTGTATGAAATATTTTTCCTCATCGTTCAAAGAATATACCGTCATCGAAAACAAAATTTGAAGTCTTTTATTTGAATTAATCTGATGGTGTCTCTCATTTACTTTTAGCAAATATTTAGTCAGATCAGTTGGTGTTCTTATGTTTTAAGTGGTGTACAACGGACTACTGAGGGTCATTACTAATTTGATCCGACACCAATATTATTCTCAATTTAATAATTCAGGTCTAATTTGGTCCGACACCAATATTGTTCTCAATTTAATAATTCAGGTATAATATTGTGAGTAGAATTCGACTCAATGGGCTCATCTAGGTTGTACAGGTATTGGTCTGGGGAAATTGGCTCGGGTTGGAGGTTGATAGGGTGGTGGGTTGTTGTTGGAGAGAGAGGAGAGAAGGGTAGTAGAGATTAGTGCATGTGGTAGATTGTGATCTTATAATATTATATAAACAGCATTGGCTTATGCATACTGCTTGATTTGTAAATTATAAACAATTTTCATTCTTGATAATGTCCTCATATGAAATTCGTAGGATTTGAGATTTTTTTTAAATAAAAAAAAAAGAAAAAAAAAGAAATATAGCAGGATCTCTTGTTCCATATCTATGACGAGTTAATTACACTAACACCATATGAGGTTTCTTGTGTTTTCACAAAACCTCCTCAAGTCTCAAAAATTACATGAACACCTCTTGAGGATTCAGCTTGTTTTCACAAAACCTCTTTTCGTTGATTGTTTGTCCAAAAATTGGCGATTTTATTGAAATTTTTTTTATGCAAAAGACAAAATTAACCTCAATGAAGTATATGCAATCTAATCTCAAAGCATAAGTTTGTCATTTGGAGAATATTTTGTATAAAATCATCAATTTTTGGATGAAAAATCAATGAAAAGGAGTTCTGTGAAAACAATTTTAAACCTCAAGAGATGTTCGTGTAATTTTTAAAACCTCAAAGAGTTTTGTGAAAAAGCCAAAAACCTCAAAGGATGTTTGTGCAAATAACTCTTCTATGACTGCGTCAAATAGTTTATATTTGAAAAATATGCGATGCAAGTATTCTTTTGGATATTATTTATCTGACTTGTACTCCATATTTGTGGTCTTAAATATCCCATTGATTGAAATTGCTACTTTAAACTTCAAAGTCATTCAGGCTTAAGTGCTGATGGGGTTGAACAATTTACCCCACAACTCAACTTGACTTGGAAGTCTTTGCATGCATGATCGTAGCAGTGTCATTGTCGATATTTTATCTTTATCAGAGACTTGGAAGTCGTTTAATCGATGTTCACACAATTTGTGTAGGTAGGGACGGGATTATGGAAAATTTTCGTTCTTGGTAGCGTATTCGCGGCGCATAATTTTATACAATTCGAAGTGTACAAAAGCTCAACCATCTGAATTGTCATTTATTCCTTTATACAGGGCATTTCTGTACTCTTAAATCTTCCAGACTCATATCTTTAGTCCTACAGGTCATCCCATTGCAAAAGAATCATGGGTCACAGCAGTGCTAATGCTTCCATCCACCTTGTCTCACTAATTATACTGTTAGGAATTTTATCCCTTGAAACCATTAAACTCGGTTTGTGCAATGATGATCATAATGTGGGATGCATAGAGAGGAAAGCCCTTCTCAAGCTCAAACAAGGCCTCATGGATCCTTCCGGACGGCTTTTGTCTTGGGTGGGAGAAGATTGCTGCAAATGGAGTGGTGTAGGCTGCAACAACATAACTGGACGTGTCAACAGGCTCGATCTTCGCAATCATGATTGGTATCACGATTTTTTTGATAATTACGGAGCAACAGAGCATGCATTTAGTGGTGAGATCAACCCTTCTTTGCTTGTTTTGAAAGATTTGGATTACTTGGATTTGAGCATGAATGACTTCAGAGGTGTCTTTCCAAGTTTCATTGGATCACTAGAGAAACTGAAATACCTCAATCTCTCTGGTTTATCTTTTGTTGGAGTCATTCCCCCCAATCTTGGAAACCTCTCAAGGTTGCTTTATCTTGATCTTAAGAGTCTTGGAACTCTTGAGACTGACCTTCAGTGGCTTGCAACTCTTTCTTCCTTAAAGTACCTTAACTTGGAAGCAGTGAACCTTACTAAGACTACATCCTATTGGCTTCACGCTGTTAATATGCTCCCTTCACTTGTTGAATTGCATTTGCCCTCTTGTGGTCTTCCCATGCTTCCTCTCACTCTTCCTTCCATCAATTTCACATCCCTTTCAGTTCTTGATCTCTCTGGCAATAAATTCACCTCCACAATACCTCCTTGGTTGTTCAATCTCACTAAACTAGAGAATTTGGATTTCGCATATAACAGTCTGACAGGAAAATTGCCTGATTCTTTGGGATATCTTAAAAGCTTGAGATACCTCGAATTGTTGGATAACTCACTTGAGGGTTCAATCCCAAAATCGATTGGAAATTTAACATCTCTGAAGGAGTTTAACCTTGAACATAATCAAATGAGTGGGATCATCCCAGAAAGTCTTGGGGAGCTCTCATCGCTGGTTTCACTTGATATCTATAGCAACACATGGGAAGGTGCCATTACAGAAGCTCATTTCGCGAAACTTGGAGGCCTAAGAGAAGTATCAATTGGAAATTATCCCCCAAACATTTTGCTTTTCAACGTAAGTTCTAATTGGATACCTCCTTTCAAATTAATATATTTGTACATTAGATCATGCCAACTGGGTCCCAAATTTCCTACGTGGCTTAGAAATCAGACTGAGTTGACCACATTGGTACTCCGTAATGCTAGGATTTCAGGCACCATACCAGATTGGTTTTTGCAGTTGGATTTGCAATTAGATGAACTAAATTTCGCTAATAATCAACTAAGCGGCAAGGTGCCCAATTCATTAAGATTCAGTTATGGTTCCACTGTTGATTTGACTTCAAACCGTTATAAGGGCCCACTCCCACTCTGGTCCTCAAACATTTCCTTTCTGTATCTTAGAGATAATCTATTTTCAGGGCCAATTCCTCATAACATTGGTCAAGTGATGCCCAATTTGACATATCTAGACATTTCTACGAACACTTTGAGTGGAAGCATTCCCTTGTTCTTGGGTAATTTAAGCCAATTGCAATTCATATTGATCTCAAATAACCTCTTGTCTGGTGAGATTCCTCATTTTTGGAACAATATGCCATCATTGCGTTGTATAGACTTGTCAAACAACAGTCTCTCTGGCACAATCCCAAGATCTTTAGGCTCTCTTACTTCACTCGAGTTCTTGGGCCTCTCCAGCAACAACTTTTCAGGTGAAGTTCCTTTCTTGAAAAACTGCACTTACCTGAATATTCTTGATCTTGGTGATAACAAGTTTTCTGGACCGATTCTGGCTTCCATCGGAGAAAGCATGCCCAATTTACAGATTCTAAGCTTGAGGTCCAACTCATTTACGGGATGCATCCCTTTAAGTTTATGTGGCCTTTCTGCTCTCCATATATTGGACTTCTCACACAACAATCTTTCCGGAAATATTCCCCACTGCGTAGGTGATTTGAGTTACTTGAAATCTGAGTCCACTGACTATTATCCCTATGGTTACTTGGGAAGATTTGAGTTGGTGTCAAAAGGAAGAGTGTTGGTATATGATTATATCTCCATCCTTTACCTTGTTACTAGCATTGATCTCTCGGACAATAAATTGTCAGGAGAGATACCTATGGGCCTAACAAGCCTTATAAACTTGGGCACCTTAAATTTGTCCATGAATCATTTGACAGGAAATATCCCAGCAAATATCGGAAACTTGGAGTCTATAGAAACTCTTGATCTATCATTGAACAAACTTTCAGGTTCAATTCCACAGAGCATGGTTAATTTAACATTTTTGAATCATTTGAATCTGTCATACAATAACTTGTTTGGGAAAATTCCAATGAGTAACCAGTTTCAGACCTTTGTTGATCCGTCAATTTATGAGGGCAACCCCGGTCTTAGCAGTTGTCCATTACCAATTGTTTGCCAAGACAACGAAGGAGCACCTCAAGTTCCAAGTGGAGATGGAGGAGAGGATGATGACAGTAAACTTGAAAAGCTACAGTTCATCATCAGCATGGTGATAGGTTTCTGTGCAGGGTTCTGGGGAGTTTTTGGGACTTTGGCCATGAAGAGGTCTTGGAGGCTTGCCTATTTTCACTTCCTTGACAAAGTGAAAGATGCTGTCCTTGATTTTTTCTCAGCCATTGGTACTTATCTGCAGAAAAGATCCTAGAGCATAGAAGAAGCTGCACATGCTAAGGCATATGTATGCAAGCAAATAAAGCAAAGTTTAGAATTGTCCTTTACAATTTTGTAAGTTGGTTATTGTAATATGAATTTATACTTTTGTGTATTGTGCCTTAACGAAACAATCGCTTCAATCCATTTGAGTCCGAAAATAAAAGATTTAATGAAGTTCCTCACAATAAGTATAATTGAGGTATGTCCTAGAGCAACATGTGCAAACACATCCACTATCAACAACTTAGGATGTTTATAAATTGTTTGGCAACCTCACATAATTTCCTCATAGTTTCCTCCTATAAATTGTTTTTGTGCTAAAAGGGCGTTATTTTCCTGGTGTTGATTTCACTAATGCCGTTGGTGGATCCAGACCTTCATGGGTTTGGACAAGTCTTCTGGAAGGAAAAAGGGTAGTCATTGATAGAGGTCGAATACAGATCATAAATGGTGAGAATATATACTTGTATCTGGTCTGACAGCTGGCTCTCCCCTCCACATGATGGTCGCATTACTCCGATCAACCCTGTCCCCACTTCTGCAGAGATTGACTATTCTACCCCTAATCAATCAGATTCACAGGATGGAGTCCAACTTTGGGTCAGTTGAGTGGTTTCCTGGAAAATGTGGCAACGAAGGAATTAAAGCTACTCTGTCAGTATTCTTGTTCAAAAATAACTTTTTATTTGTTTGAATTTGAGTGATTTTATTTCATCAAATTGACCAATTCGTCATAATTTCTGGAAACCAATTTCTTCTAAATTCGGAGCCGCATTTTCTTGCTAAGGAAAGAAACAATATATCAAATTTGTTAGAGCTTTGATTTTTTTATTTTTCCTAAAAAGAAATTTCTTATTTATAATTATAATTTATAAGGTCAAATTTGACTGATATATACGTTTTTTAATTTATGAAATGAAATAACAGATAAAGATAAGTTCTTCTTCCGATCTAATATGAATCTAGGAAAATTCAACTTATTACATTGAAAGAATTGTATAGATGAATAGATGAAAGAGGTATTATTCAATTAATCACAGAGAACAGTGACATGAAATGATAAAAGAAAATTGCTAAAAACCCTGCGCATCCTATTTAAAATAAGTCAAGAGTATTGATATTATTGCATTCGATTGAAGTCCCAAGCACTAGCATAAACCATTTCCAATCAAATTGTAGGTAAAACCTCTTTGAAGATGAATTAAGCACAACCAAATTACATGTGACAGATATGTACATATTCAAACCTGTAAATAAATAATAAAAAAATTTAAAAAATCTCACAATCCAAAATGAAAAACAGCCACAAACAGACCAAACATTTTTTTCTTCTTTGTATTTCCAGCTTTCCCAGATAGTTATTTTTTTGGTAATTAAAAGGGGGGTATTCAATTGAGATTTTAATAGATTGTAATTACATAATTTTAATGTAATTGATTTCAGCCGAATTTGTAATTATATGATTTTAATTAACTTCGAATTTTACTTATGATTTCAAGAAATTGCAATTACATAATTTTACTTATATTTCTTTACCAGCTTGACAAGTGAAAATGAATCAGCATGGGACTGAGAGCAAAACATGGAAGAACTATCTATTGCTACTTTTTACTTGCTACAGGGACAAAGTCGCAGTAAATGCTAGGTGAAGTACTCCCATATATGGCGTAAGCAATCCTTACTTCTCCACTATGGTCGCCAAAAGTCTTCCCTAATTTACTTTTATTGACCAACTGTTGTGTATGAAATTTGAATTCATGTGCAGAACTACCTAAAGAGTGGAACGGACTCTAGTCATGTCCAAGTTGTTCATTAAAACTTTTCCTCAGTGTATTTTTCTGTGTTAATCCCATCTTAGCGCATGCCTCCAGTCCAACAGGCCAACCCAAATTTCCAGCCTAGTCCCCTTTCAGAGAAACTGTAATGAGGGTTGCCTAGCTATTATAAAAGCTCATATTTTTGGTTCCACTACTGGACAAAGTGAAAATTAAATTAAACCAAATGATTAGTAGATAATTATTCTAGTGTATTTACTGATGTGGTATATTGAATCCACCTAAATTATATCACATATACTGATTGTAAGTCCACCATTTTTTATTATTTTTTTTGGGTATGAAAATACTTCAATAAAAGGCGCAAAGACCGCCAGCAAAAACAACAAGACAGAAAAACAAACAAGATGCAAGCAAACTAGGATAAAAAAGAGAGCCTAGAATAAAGCCTACACCCAAAGTAACTGATAGGATTTTTAGTACCTGCGCAAACAGGGTTAAAATCACTGAAAATACTTGCAAGAATACAAGGTAATTGTAGTATAAATGCTCATGCAAGGTCGTTGTCCCCAAAGATTGTTTGACTAATCTGTAATTAGACTAACTCTTAATTAATAACTAAAATAGAATTTATCAAAGATTTGAAGTTTATAAATTTGAAAAGATTAAACTAACAGTAAAAGAAATATAAAAATTGGGAAATAATAACAACAAAGAAGAAAAACGATTTCTTTTTAAAGACTAACAATTTAGAGAAAACTAGGGTTTAGCCAACACCGTCGCAATCCTATGCAATTCTATCAATTACTTATGAATTTCCACATATATGCTTTGAAGGTTAGATTTTCCTAATGCATATTTTCCTTGTGATGTTCAAGCGAAAACGTATATCTAACATGCAATCCGTCTGTGATGTTCAGATCAAATATAAACATGCAAGACTCATTAAGCTTTGTGAAAACCCTTTGAAAAACCATGCAACCCTTAAGAGCGTGATGTTCGCCTTAAGTGAACTTACAATTACTAATCACAAGAAGCCCTCCTCAATTTCAGGGTGATGTTCCAACAGAAATTGCATCAAATTACTTGTCTACATATCCTAATGGTGATCAATCATTAAAATAGATAGATAGTTTTAAACACAGTGATTAATAATTCAAAGCAAACATGCATCCATTCATAAGCAAATTAATAAAACTACATATTCATGCTAAGGCTTACGGCCTCGCCCTAGCAAAAGGAATTAATTACACATAATCATAATTGAAATCCAAGAAAATATCATTCGAATGAGTAAGAATGAAAACACCTGAAAGTAGCGAAAATCCAAAACCCTAGCAATTGCTCCCAAAGCCGAAAAGAAGTTCTAAAAGGAGCTCTCTAAATTGCTGTGAAAAGAAGCTTAAATACCTCCTAAAACCTAGCTACCCAATCCCCACAAGGAAACTAAGTTAAAATAAAATAAGACTAGGAAATAAAGTCCAAATTGGATTAGGAGAATCTGCCCAAATCTGTCCAGCCACGTTTTGGTCTCAAATCTTCTCCAAATCTGGCCCAAGATAGCTCGTCTTAAAGATAAAAATATTCCGAACACTTCTCCAGAAGGCCACGAACCCATCCGAAGTCATCTTGGGCTCCAAAAACGCAATAAAAGCCCAAAACATCACTGTTCCAGCACGGCGCACTGCTCCTTTATTTATTCGCCAGGAAATCATCGCTTGGTGGAAAAGTCTGAAATTCTGACACGATCAAGTTAAGTGACTCACAAACGTCCTCCAACTGGAATTACTCCAAAATTCATCCATTTGATTATGTTTTGCTCCGGAGGAAGTCGAAAACCCTATATTGGAAATATAATTCAAAGTATCAAAATTCTTCCAAAATATTAACCAAAATATACTAAGAATATGGTTAAATATATAATATAAAATCGACTCATCAGTAACCTAATCAAATTACTGAGCAGAGACCTCCACGGGAGGACAGGGAAGGCCGTCGGAAACCAAAACACCCACAAGAGACGGTGGTGGCCTTACAGCCCAACAATCCAGTTGCACCGCTCTAGCTCCAATCGCAGCTGCCTTATGAGCGGCGCAATTCAAATGCCTAGGCACCCAATTCCATCTAACGTCGCTAAAGAAGCTAGATAATCTGTCATACTCATCCAGTAACGATTTGACTGTCCAAAGCCCATTGTTTGAAGCCCCCCTTGTACCTTCCACAAGCACCTTGGAGTAATTTTTCTATACCCTCGGCTGATTGCATACTTGACAGCACATAGACCTGCAGCTGCCTCAGCGACCAAGGCTGCACTACAACGGAAAGATGTTGCCAGCCCCCAACAAAACAAGCCTTCCTCATTTCCAACAATCACCCCTAAACCTGCTTTAAAGAAGTTCAATTGCCAAGCCCCATCAAAATTGATTTTTAGGAAGTTCACCTCTGGGGGCATCCATCTTGACGTTTGTCTCAAGGGGTCTGGAGGGGCAACCCAAATTGAGACTTCAGGTCTAGTCTTTACTCCCATGAATTCTCTGAAAGCTCGCATGGTTCTATCAATTGTAACAATAGGATCGATTAAGTAGCCTTTGAAGATGAAATTACATCTGGACTTCCAAATTTCCCAGCAAGTAAAGCTGATCATTGAGAATAAGTTCATTATCTCCTTCTTTCCCATGTCCTTCAGGCTTAGGACTTCCAACAACCATTTATCAAACGTAGAAAAGCCCTGCAAGTTCACTCTGTAACTGAGGGGAGCCCCAAACCAAACCGCTTGTGTCCATGGGCAGAGAAAAAGCAAGTGTTCCACTGTTTCCTCTAACTGACCACAAATGGGGCACAATGGTGAGTTCACAATTTTCCTCTTGAACAAATTCCATCGAGTAGATATGGCATCATTTAAGAGTCTCCATAAGAACACACGAATTTTGGGTAACGTAACAATCTTCCAAATACTCTGCCACACCTCCTTTTGAACTACATGAGAAGTCGAGCCCCCTTCACCCTCCCTGATTCGTTTCTGAGCATGGATTCTCCGATATCCAGATTTGACAGTATAATCTCCATTTGAGGTCCAGGGCCAAACCCTTCTATCACAGCCGTCAGAATTACCAATAGGACAGCAACGAATAATGTCAATAGTCTCTCGCGAGACATAAGAATCAATGAGGTCCACTCTCCATGAGTGATTAACTTTGTCCATAATTTCACAAACCTGTTGGGGGGCAGAAGGAGAGATCAACTGAGATACATTAATGATCCCCTCATGAGGAGGATGTAGCCAAGAGTCCTTCCAGATGTTCGTATTAGCACCATTAAAGATTTGACAACGAGAGTCTTTAATAAGAGCATCTCTCCCTTCTAATAAACTGGCCCAAGCCCCAAGCCTAGGATGCTCAAGCTCCCTTCTTCGCCTGTAAAAAATCACAATCCGGGTAATATCTAGCTTTCAAAATCTAGATAATCACACCCTAATTCATCCGTAAAATAATCACAATTGACATGCAACTTTCGTTCGTATTTATCTTACTAGCAAGAAACAAAAGAAGTTTAGTGTGAAACCAAATATGAACAAAAAGGAAAATTGCATCATCATTTGGAATTTAAAATGTCTAGATTTAATAAGGGATTTATAGCTCAAGTGGTTAAGAGCATTTACCCTTGCATCTCAGTTCTTAGGTTCGATTCCCCTATCCCTCAATATCTCTTGTATAACAAAAAAATTGCCTTTTTTTTTACAACATATACCAATTATTACCTCAAGTTAATTAACAAATGAGGTGACACATAATATAACACTTGCTTTATTGATTATAAAATGAAATGTTATCACATCAATTTGAATTTTAAAAGTTGGAATAATTATTAGAGATTCTCAGATTATTCTCATTTGGATGTCTCTAGGATTATTTCAATTATTTTTTTCTTTTAGTACAAGCGATTGATGGAGGTGGATTTACACAAATATTCATTAATTGGGAACTGCTCCCAACTTAGTTACGACTATAGCTAAGTAAAACTTGAAACTAACCTTTTTTTTTCCTCATATTTCCAGCTTTCCCAGACAGTTATTTTTTTGGTAATTAAGGGGGTGTATTAAATTGAGATTTTAATAGATTGTAATTATATGATGTAATTGATTTCAGTTGGATTTGTAATTATATGATTTTACTTATGATTTTAATATATTGCAATTACATGATTTTACTTATGATTTTAATTCACTTTGAATTTTACTTATGATTTTAATAGATTGCAATTACATGATTTTACTTATATTACTATACAAGCTTGGCAAGTAAAAATGATTCAGCATGGGACTGAGAGTAAAACATGGAAGAACTATCTATTGCTACCTTTTACTTGCTACAGGGACAAAGTCGCAGTAAATGCTAGGTGAAGTACTCCCAGTTTCCATATATGGCGTAAGCAATCCTTACTTCTCCACTATGGTCACCAAAAGTCTTCCCTGATTTACTTCTATTGACCAACTGTCGTGTGTGAAATTTGAATTCATGTGCGGAATTACTTGAAGAGTGGAACGGACTCTAGTCATGTCCAAGTTGTTTATTAAAACTTTTCCTTTGTGTATTTTCCTGTGTTAATCCCATCTTAGCGCTTACCTCCAGCCTAACAGGCCAACCCAAATTTCCAGCCTAGTCCCTTTCAGAGAAACTATAATGAGGGTTGCCTAGCTATTATTAGACGTTTAAATTGACCCCCTCAATTGTTAGCAAGATCCTAGCTTAATTAGAATATTTATTTCCTAATTTATTAGGATTATATTTCTTTCCTTTTTGTACAGATGTTGTGTAATTAGGTTTTTATCTTGTTTTCTAGTTTGACTCTACTAGGGTTACATCCTTGTACTATAAATACTTTCTTTTGGAGAATGAAATACAACCTGAAAAATATTCCACCCATATTGTTTGACTTGGTATCAGAGCCAGGTTTTCTGGTGACCTGTGTATTGTGCCCACCCGTGTTCTATCCCCATATTTTTTTTTCTTCTCTACCTATGCTGTGTGTGCCCTCCTGGGTTTGTGTGCTGTGTTGTAGTGTTCATGCCTGTACTGTGTTCGTACCATTCCTGTGTTCGTGCATCTGCCGTATTTGTGCCTTTGCTGTGTACTGTTGTATACTATGTCGTGATTTGTTGAGTTTCTGCTGCAATCATGGGTGATAACTCCATTGTTGGTGTTGTTGCTGCTGCCTCTGCAAATTTGTGTGTTTCTGATTCTATTCCAGGTACTGGCTCTAATACTTGGATAATTGACACTGGTGCTTCTGATCATATGACTTATGATGCTAAATTTTTTTATGAGTTGTCTGGTAACACCCGTGACCCATACATAACTAGTGCTAATGGCTTGCCCTCTCCAATTATTGGTGAGGGCACAATCTCTCTCACTCCTACTTTGTCTTTGTCTCGTGCGTTACTAGTTCCCAATATTCATTGTAATTTGTTATCTGTTGGTCAATTACTTGATACACTTAATGCTTCTGCTACTTTCTATCCTACGCATTTCTCTTTTTCAGGATCTCAAGACTCACGAGACGATTGGGCATGGTAAACGGATAGGGGGGTTATATTATTTGACATTGCCTTCTGCATCAGTTCGTGATCGTGTCATTAATACTGTTCAAAGTTGCAGTGTCAAAGACAAACAACAAATTTGGTTATGGCATCGTCGCTTGGGACACCCGTCATTTGACTACCTTAAGCGTCTGTTTCCATCTTTATTCTGCCATTGTGATGAGTCCAGTTTTAAGTGTGAGGCATGTATTTTGGCCAAGAGTTATCGCAATGTGTTTCCTTTGAGTGACAGTAAAGCTACAAAGCCTTTTGATTTAGTGCATTTTGATGTGTGGGTTTCGGCTCCGTTACTTCGAATGAATTTCGTTGGTTCGTCACATTTATTGATGATTGTACTCGACTCACTTGGGTTTTCTTGCTGAAAAATAAACATGATGTTGCTTCCATCCTTCCAGAGTTTTGTACTATGGTGTCTACTCAGTTTCATGCTCGGGTCAAAGTATTCCGAACTGATAATAGAGGTGAATATGTGAATAACACTTTTGCATCTTTCTTCCTTGCTCAAGGTATTATTCACCAAACGACAACCCCATTTACTCCTCAGCAGAATGGTGTGTCTGAATGCAAAAATCGCCAGTTACTTGAAGTTGCATGCTCTCTTATGTTGGACATGTCTATTCCTCATCATCTTTGGGGGCATGCTGTTTTAATTAATGGTACTCCTAGCCGGGTTTTTGATTTCAAGACTCCACATGATGTGTTTGGTGACCATGTTTCCTCTGTCTCAGTCTCCAAGTTGCCCCCTCAAAGTTTTTGGGTGTGTTGCCTATGTTCATGTCTACTATCATCAACGAAGTAAACTTGATCCTTTCACTCTGCGATGTGTCTTTATTGGTTACTCTTCTACTCAGAAAGGTTATAAGTGCTATCATCCATTTACCCAGAAAGTACATGTTACTTTAGACGTGACTTTCCATGAAGAAGTGCCCTATTATGTCTCTCATTCCTCTCCAATTCAGGGGGAGAGAGGGAGTGAATTGGAGAGTCTTGGATTGGAGAATGATGTATTTGAAGATACTGATCTCAAGAAGGAAACGACCTATCGCACTGAAGCAAGTGACCGGTCGCCCATATCTGAAGATGAAACTTGTGGTCCCTGTGAAGAAATGAATGATCACCTTTTGGAACTCAACCAGTCGCCCATATCTGGAGATGAAGTAGGTGCTCTCGATGTCGAAACGACCGGTCATGCTGAAGCAAGTGACCATTCGCCTGTATTTGAAAATAATGACAGTGATTCTTGTATGGATGAATTCGATGCAATATCCTCATTTGCCCTGTCAGTGTCCCTATCTACTCGTGATAGTGAATCAAGTGAGGTAATTTCTAATGATCTATCTGTGTCAACTTATCAATTACCCCCATGAACCACTCGTGAGAAACCTAAAGTACAATATTTTCCTGATATACATGTCAAGTCTAAATATCTCATTAGCCATTATGTGTCAACTCATCGTTTGTCTAAGTCATATGCATCATATTTGTGTCAATTATCTAGTGTATGTATGCCAACTAAGCTGCAGGATGCTTTATCTAACCCCAAATGGATGGATGCCATGAATGTTGAAAAATAACTTTTTATTAGTTTGAGTGATTTTATTTGTGAATTTGTCAATTTTGGTGATAAGATATTAGTTTGGGAAATGCACATACATCTATATATATATAAAGCTAAAGGCATAGAATGGTAAAACATTCAAAATACCAATAAAATGCCCTTAGTTAATGCAAACATTAAAAATTGAAATTATTAATTAAATGAGGATAATCCGCTGAAACTTATTAATCTAATCCAATTCAATTCAATTTCAATTGGTTTCAAAGATTTGACGGATTAGATTGGATCTATAATTTTCAAAACCGACATGATTGGATCAGATGACAGATTTGCTTATGAGAATCCAATCAAATCAAATCATATCAAATCTAATTAATTTTAAGTCTAATTTGATAACAATCAATAAAATGGAAATTTATAAGGATATAGTCAATGGACTTTTTTGAATTTCTGTTAGCTTGAGGTCAATGGGCCTTCACAAGGCCTTTAAGGCATGTTTAAGTCAATGGAGTTTCAATCAAGTTGTGATTAACTGAAAAAAAAAAAAAACACATAGTATATATATGTTTAAAACTGAAAACCCCAGAACTTTAAAACATGATCGATCCTCACCTTTAGGTGAAGAAATCAAAACATGTTTATGAATACTAAGGCATGAAAATCACATAAGCTTTCTGTACAAGAAAGGTTCCACATCTTTGGACAGAAGAACAACCTTGATAGCCTACGTGTTTCATCTCTTATGCTGTTCTGCTGAAAATAATTGCAGGATAAATCATTCACATCTTTGGACAGTGAATCATTCATTATGCCTTTATTTTCAACACAAGTTTGATCATAAAACTTTGAATGTACAGATCTTGTTGTGTCTGAGTTGCTTTGGCTTGCTCAGAGCACGGCAAGAACTATACAAACCTTTGATCAATTTCCGTTTGTCACAGCAAGGTGTTAACTTTAACTCTTGCTGTGTCAAGTTTCTTTAACCTTGAAAACTTAATTATCCTTCAATTTTCAAGTTCTAAATGCTGCAACAAAATTGGTTAGGTAGAAGATAAAATAACTTATGCTCTGATACCACATGTAAACTTTAAAGCTATAATAACTTGAACACTAACCTTGTTCTGCCATTGAAACCTTTTATCGAACACTTGGGAGACAGCTCTTCTCTAAGATAACCGACTGCCTTATTCTCAAATTCCAGATGGGGTGAATTACTTGATGAGATTTTTGTGTGTATCAGCTCTTAGAGGGAGCTGCTCTATTTATATGCATCACTCAAGGAGTCTTGCCCATGAAGAGACTCCTTGAGGTATCCTTATTGCTATAGAACTGTTAATCCTAATTCTCATAGAACTAGAAACCCCTTTAGCCTTGTAATCCATATGGAACACTGACACAGAGGCTGCAGGTCGAGAATTGTGTTGAGTTCTTGATCAGTCTTGAGTCTTGCAATCCGATAATGAATAGAAAACCAATTCTAAAAGGATTGGGATAATAAACTATCTTACATTATTGTCTCAGCCTTACTTCTTACACTTTTATCTTTTTGATGGCATAGCCAATTGGAGAATTGACGGTGAAGAAGCGGTTGGTGGTTGGATTGAGAACATATATAATAATAGTCATACTGGATTTTGCCTGTTGCAGAGAAGGGAAAAATGAAAAGGAAAAGGAAAAGTGATTCAAGACATAGAGTTACCTGCAAAAGCGATGGAGGAACTAGAAAAGAGGGACCTGGTTGCAATAGGAGTCGCAGGTTGCTGCTGTAGCTGCTTCTTTTCTTTTCCTTTTGTTTCTTCCCTATGTACGCTCTTGGGGGCGTTGTTTCAACAATTGAGGTGGTAGTCCAAAGCTTCTTCTAGTTGAGTTTTAGACAGTCATCGAATAACTTGGTCAGATGCCCTCCAATGTTTCCTTGGTTTGACGGTGGAGAGGAATTGGGAGAGGTTGGTTTCATATTCAGAGAATGAATTTTTGAATTTTTCTATTAAAAACCCACACTTTTCTTTGTGGTTAAAATTTGTAAGGTGATTATTTTTTATTAAAGTTTGTATTTAGTGAGTATGTAAGTCAATTTCCCTATTAGTTTTTGTATTTTGCTACATGGTTTTTTCTTGGGAATTTGGAAAGTGTTTAAGGGTTTTGTTATTGGTGGTAACAGGAGTCACAAGACAGAGTTTTCACTTCAGGGTGTTCCTAGCAAGAGCGGATCCGGTGTCCTCATTCTCTATGTCCCTCCATGTCCCTTCTCTAAGTTTTTGGC